GCTTAACGCGCGTCAGATCATCACTCTATTCCCATTCCCAGACTCCAGCCACTGTCTGAGCCGGTCACGTGTCTGGTCCGAGAAATCGGCGCAGCCGGACTAATATACAGTTCAGTATATACCTGACACTAAGGCCGGTTTGTGTGTATGTTAATCCTTCCTTGTCGCATGGGTTTCAAGTATTCACCCAATTACTTGAGATTCATAGTGAAGGGAATCGAAATGAGTGCCGATTCAAATTCAGTTCTTTGCATTGTTTGCTTTAACAAGTAACTCTGTACAGCTCTCTCCCTCTAGATATACAGTGCCAACTCCTGAAAGGTTTCTACGAGATAAAAATGACTTAAACCAGTTTAGATTTAGCCACCCCATATGAAAAAGCACCCATTCTCTGATATCGTTGTATTACAACAAACATTGAAGGCTAGAGCAGCAATCGAAGAACCCAGCGGCACGGTTGCTGTTAAAGCCAAAAAGAATGACTTGTGGATGTGAAGCACTTACAACTTCCCCCGGACCTCCTTCGCTACGCCCACGCTGTCGATGGACATGATGCATCTGGATCGGCCTTAGCGGACATCTCCGGACCCGTTGCAACAACCCGACAAGACCGGCTTTCTCTGAAGATCCCACAGCAATCACCACCGCCCACAGTGGGCACACTCTGAATGCCCCGTCGTCAATCACTACTGTTGAGGTCCCGTCAACCACCAATAACCATATTGGTTTGATCCCAACCTGCGATGACTGCAATTGGACTTCCATACAAAGCATCGGCCTGGTTGGTCACATAGAGAAGTATTCATGCAACCAGCTAAATCCACACAAAAACCCCAGCCATCGAGATAAAAGAACTAACTCACTTGCGACACAGTCTTGAGATGGTTCATAAGAAAGGAGGCAAAGTCAGAGAGGAGTCCAAATCCTGAGACGAAACTTGCAACTAATCGCGTGAGCCGTGGGTTGCTTGATTCGTGGTTTACAGGCCCCTCGTCTATCACCAAGTCCAACGACCGCCCCAATCTAAATACTACACTGAGACTCCGCCTAGCCAAGGCAATTAGATACTCGGAGAGCACAGGGGAGAGCACATTTTCCAACGCCAATCATCCTAACAACGTCCCACACGGATAATGAAATTTTAGCAGGCAACTGTCCGCATGCCGGCCATCAAACAATTAGCGATGGGACTGTCTTTAGAGGTCCTATTTGCTTTTGATTTATAATAACAAACTACTTTTACATTTTCAG